TCAAATATAATTACCGTTATTAATCATTTATCAATCTTGACAACAATTCCTCTAACTGTTTTAATAAAATAAACTCTGGGATTTAAAATCATTTCGTGAATATTGTCAGAAATACTTGAAGGAATAAGCGTGTTGCAGAAATGAAATATTATTTTTTAGAAAAAGTAGATTCATAACAACAGGATAATGTTTAAAGAATTGTTCGATACCGTACAAATTAATATATCTATATACACCTTGTTGTATAATACACACAACATTTTGATGCAACGAGCAGAAACACGAAAGAGCCGATTAAATTCACAGAAAGCGGAAATGATATATATTTACAAGTTTTTCTTTTTTCATGATAATGTAATGATTATTTCAAATTATTTAATTGGAAAAGAAGCATTCCTGTTAAGTGAAAAACCGGAAAAGGAAAACGCTTAGAGTACTTTGCAATATTATCATTCACGCGTGCATTTGAAATATGTATTACTTATTTGAAATTTATTCTCGTATACTAAGAACGTAGCTAATAATACGAAATATTAACAAGCTATTTTCATGTGTAAAACATTAAATTAATTTAGAAATAACAGCTATCTTCCAAGGATACGTTTCAGAAGTTGATCGAAACTTTCTCGATTGAAGAAATGAAACTTCGGTTTTGAAACCACGTTTCAATTACAACTTTTACACGCGTCTAGGAAATTTGTAAGAATGTCTTAGTACTGAGTGTGATTTTAAAATAAAAAGTATTTGAAATAATCTTATTGAACAATATTTCAGTCAATAACAAGTTATTTCAAATTAACCACGTAGACAACAATTTCTTTAAATATACTTGTATTTTATTTGAAATGCAACTGGGTCAGAATTTTTTTCTCCGTCTATTTCTTTTTTTAATCAGAATACAAGAAAAAACTTATTAATTTTAAATTGAATTTAAGTTCGAACATGATTTTTCCATTATGTTCCAAAAATAATTAAAATTTTATAATTAATTAAAATATAAAAATTATTATGAATTTATTTTAGTAGGAAGTATAAAATTTTTGATCCAGTTTTGTATTTCAAATAAACACTAGAAGGCCTAGTTATTAGAAAATGGTTACTGAAACGTTAGAAAATTACCTAAAAGTTATGTTTCCCTACATGGCAATGAGAATCGTAATGACTTCGAAATTACGTGTCTCCACAGTGATTACCATGTTAAAAGCCGTAATTACGCTCATATTAATTACAACATCGCACACGTTGCTCCAGTATTCTGATCAACCGAGTCATTTGCCTGAAACAGTACCCGGAGAGAGTACCTAGAAGAAATATTCAAAGATGACGAATTCAACGACGATTTTGCACTTAGAAAGCTGGCTCGACTTTCCAGACCGAAAAAGCTGAATTCAGGCGAAAATCGCGAAGCAAGAAACAGTCGCAGAAGATCGCTTTCGCAACTTGTGCGACTCCTCTCGTCGTGAAATGAAATTCTGCGGTTAAACGCGCAATAATTGTTTCTAACAACGGTTCCGAAAAAGAGCGGAGAACGCTGGCTAATAAAAGTTAACAAAGCAAAGCGAAACGGACGGATTCGTTCGATTTAGTTAGTCGCGGAGCAAATCGTCCGTAACTGGAGAGAAGACGAAGCGATCTTGTCGAAATCACGTTTCTCGCGCGAAGGCAAGAACTCTTTGGCTTTGTTTTTCTTCGCGCTTGTATCACGGTTACGCGGCATAATGCCGACACCGTGGGAAACCAACTGAGACTTCCGGTGGGCTTTCACTTCGTTTAATTGTCCTTGTGGTCAACTCGTGACTCTTGACAATCTTGACATTGAACGCAATGCGTTTCGTCTCGAAGAGAAAGTACGCACGCAAGGGGAAACAGTTTATCACTTGCCAAATTGAATGTAACAATTGCAGAGATAATGATCGTCGGGTGAGGATTCAGTCTTTTGACACGACTGATCATCATCTGTCAAGACTATATATACCTAACAGTTAACACCCATTTGTACGAATATTTTTGAGGTTAGGTTTGAGCGAGCGTTACTTATTGCGATTCTAACATCATTTTAGGTAGAAATAATTATCGTCAGGAGAGGATTCAGTCTTTTGACACGACTGATTATCATTTGTTAAGACTAAACACACGTATATAATACCTAACACTCATTTGAACGAATATTTTTGAGGTTAGGTTTGAGCGAGCGTTACTTATTGCGATTGTAACATCATTTTAG